AAAAGCTGAGTGCTTTATACATGAGCAGATTAAGGAAATCTTGCCATCGTATGTTACCCTGTGGGAACTACATTATGGCCCTATTTTGGTGTTAGTTGTAAGTGTATCAGATGCTTTCATAGGTCTCATTTTCACTATGGCTTTAAAAAATATAATTAATTCCTTTTAATTGGGAGTGGGGAAATGTTCATCAACTTTTTAAAGCAAGTTAAAAAGCTTGAGATTTTCATGACTGTGTATTGAAAATTGAGACATTTGATCTGTTTATGTGTGTAAGAAATGTTTACACAGCTTATACTTGCAGCTGTAGGATGGGAGTTGGGAGTAGTACTGGAAGTCCATACTGTTACGTGCAAAGATGTTTTGATACATCTGGGAGAATGTAAGCAAGTAGGTCAGTGGATAATGACTTAATGATTTGGAGCAGAGGCAGAATTTGAGGAAATAGTGGCAAGGCCTTGCTGGAGAAAAAGGAACAAATGGAAAATCTGAATGATGGCTTAGRCTAAAAATATCAATGGAGAAAGCTGAACAAAGTTAAATGTGTGCATATGGTACAATGCAGTCATGTTTAACACACCCAGAACTTGGCTGTGAGTGGGAGAAGCAGCCTGTGAGTGCATGTCAGTGCTCTGCCTCTGGTGTGAGCATGGGGGCAGAGCCCCACACAGGGGAGGGGTCTGTAACCCTTCCCCTCAGACCCCCCAGTTCTACTGCAAACACACCAGCAGGAACAATCAGATTGTTCACAGAATTCTATAAATATTAAAATACTCAGGATTCTGTTGTGCTTGGTGTGGGCATGCAATTCAGCGGCAACGACATTGGACCTCTTGGTTAGTTGACAGTCACATATACTGGAGCAAGCTGCTGTTCCTTTACATTCTGTTAAAGCCATGACTGTCTTGGTCCATCTGAAAACATCCCTGCTTGACAAAGCCGAGTTCCTGGGTCAGAGATTTTTTTTTAAATTGTATTAGTCATATGCAATGCAGCCTAGTAAAGTGTCATTTAAAKAAAGCAGTTGAAGTTGGGCCTGCTTTTGAGTGATCCACTTGGCTGGGTTAGGGTGTGCTGGTGGCTTTCCTTCTGCTAACAGGCCCTTGAATTGAGGTTAGTGCTGAACAGACCAAAAGAATTAATTATATAAACTATGCCAGGATGACATGGCTCATACTGTAAGGAAGGAAGCAGATAAAAGAATTAATTATTAGTTGAATGGAGTACTTTTCCTCAGCACATTGCACAGGTTTTCATATTAGCTCAGTCTGGCCTCACTTTTTATGGGGAATATTATGCTTGCACAAATACCAGAAGCTTCTTTCTTCTCAAGGAAAGACAGGACCAAAATGAAGGTCTAAAACACATTTTCTTCAGTGTTTGGAATATATCATGTGTATGGCACAGAGGTTTTGCAGCAAGTAATTTGCAGCAGTAAGCATTGATCATCAGGCTTTTGGTTCTTTCTGCTTACTGAGCCAACAGTCCTAAAAGGTTGTATTTGCTGGCAGGAGGACAAGTAGTGTTTGATATGGGAGGAAGCAGACAGCAAGAGGAAGATATGGGTTGAGTGTCAGGAAAAGTGTCATCAGTAAGGTATGGAAGTGCTCACATGAATGACAAGTCTCCCTGGAGGGTGCAGGATAGGGGTGCAGGAGGGCTCAGGTWGCAAAGGCAAGTCTCTTTTCCTCCCCTGAAACCTTTGGTGAGGACAGCTGGAGCTCTAGTGCTGGCTGGGCTGCTTCGGTCAGCTTAGTGCTGCACATGCTGACAAATGCCTGCCTCTTCACTATCACTGTGAAGAGCTGCAGGATGAGAGCAAGAGTTAAAACTCTGAGTAAAGCAGCACAAGAATCCACCCAGAGAGATTTAACTGCAACCTCTTCTCCGGCAGTGAATGCATGAGTGTGTCTGTGTACATCTCTAAATTTCACTGCTGCCTAATTTCCCTTCTACAAAATATCAACCAATTTCTAGTGCCAAGGAACCTAATCATCTGTTTATTAAAATGAGACAGACAATAAGTCTGTGTGGGGAAATGTTAAGTCAGTGCACATTGATCATGCTGATTTAGGACAGTACTGCCATCACAGCATTTCCAGAGACAAATTCTTTGCAACTAATTGCATTATAAATTCCACTAAACCATTTTCATGAGGTATTTCCCTAAGATATAAGCCCTCCATCAAAAATAAAACCAAAAAGAGCAAATGACCAGTTGTGGGTTTTTTCCTGAGTAAGTATTATATGAGCATAAGAAGAGAGAGAAGGGAAAATAAAAACTATGTTTATTAATTGCTAAATCTGTTGTAATGGGCTAGTTTTAAATATTATGGAACATGTCGAAACTCATGCAGGTTTTCCATCTGAAAGCCAAAGAAGTTGATTCCTGAGGTCTTTGTCCTCAGATCAAGATGGTCCTGAGCTATTCCAGGTCAGGATTTTGATCTCACTACGTTTGAGAGATGGTAATCCTGGCTTGTCATGAATCTGAACTGACCCAGACAAGGCCCAGACAAGGATGCTGGACCAACTTCAAGAGTGCCTAGAGAAAGTGGYAGTGGGACTCAGCCTCTTCCTCCTGCTGTGGTGGACCGAGGACATTGCAGTGCCTATGGTGGGTGTCCTGGGCTGGGARCATCCATAGGAAACAGCAACCATCATGTACAGCCAGTGTGAGCACCTGTGGGGCTCACCAGAGAGCAGCTCCCCCAMATACTCACTGGTAGTGCTTAGTAAAGTGCCTTTTTACCAGGAATCTCAAAATTCGTTTTTCTCAAGCTGGGTCAGAAGACACGGAAGCACAGAGCAGTTAATTGGATTTCCCAAGGAAGCATAGCAAGCACTGGAGGACTGAGGCTGGATTCCTTGTTTCCCAGACTCCAGCACAAAGCAGCAGACTGTTGGCCACACTGCTTTAATATTTCTTAGGGTGACTGGGAGCAAAGCATGATATTTCCTTTCTTGCTTTCATATTGAAGGGCACRAATTCTCATTTCTTGGAAGTATTTGTCACTTAGAGCATGTCCATACAAATTGTCTCCTTGGTTCCTATAAGTGTTGTGCTGTGGGATCATTTTAGAGACTCCAGGSGGGGGAGATCACAGTCAGACCAGGAGGGGGCTGGGTCTCCTCCAGTTTTCATGTATGAGATGTTTCAGGCAGTGCTCATTTCWGAAAAACTTATTTGGTGGTTCAGCAATTGGGAAATTTCTTTTCCAGGGTAGCTTTGTCACAGAAAAGCTTTTCCAGGTGAAGATTTGTATGAAATTGGGAAYTGTAAGCTCCCGGGGTAGCTGTAGCTGTCAGTCTGCTGATTAGAAGAAAGCATTTTCTTTTCTTCCTCCTCCTCTCCCCCTCCCCATGCAGTAAAATGCTTCGATTACAGAGAAACAGGGACATAAATGTACTGCCTGTGGTCTCTTTTTTGAGCCCGGGGGGAGCTGATCCTTTCAGCTGGGATGTGGATAAACCCTGACTGTGCAATGGGTGAATGCACAGGGTGAGACCCTGCTCCCCATCTGCAGGGAAMCCACTGCTGTCAGGTCACCCCGCTTCTGCTGGGGCTTTGGGGACAGGGTCTTGCCCAGAAATTTCCATCTGCACCTGCCCTCAGGGAGAACAGAGACTTCTTCTCACTTTTCTAATGGAGCCGCTTTGCCTGGAGTTTAGGTGACTGAAGTCCAACGGGTTGAGCAACACTAAAGGAGCTGGGGAGTTCATGGACTCGAATATTAGTTAATTAGTTCTCATCTTGCCCTGAGCTGGGTCAGGTACRCGGTGTTTGTCTCAAGGAGGAACTGAAGTAAAGTGGTTCCCCGGAGCATCAGATCAGGGCAGAACAGCCATTAGGGCCCAGAGCAACCATTAGGGCCCAGGACCAGCTGGCTCATTAGACATCTCCMTCTCTGCTCCTGACTGGAGAGATGCTCATACTCTCTTTAAATGGGCTGTTCATTAAAGATTCCCTGAAGAAAAGGATGCTGTAGCAGCACGCCTGGTGTTGACTCCCACATCAAAGGAGTGAGTTCCCTGCACAACAGCCATTAAAGGTGGCCTTTGGAGTGACACAGACAACAGATAGGCATAAGAAATTTAAGCCAGGGGTTAGTTGAAAAAGCTGTGATGAAAGTACCTCGAACAAATTCACAGAAATCAGATGACTGTGAGGTAGGAGAAAGTTCCATAGAATTACTGAGCACACGCACACTCTCAAAATGTGATTTTATCGTTGTGCATAGTAACAGCTGGCATAGCAATGGGCTTTTATCCGGGGAGAGGGGGACATCTGCTTGTTGGTGGGAAGAGGGGAGGGAGAAAAAAAATTCTACATTTTGTGGTAAAAGGGGCATTTGTCRTTCTCAATTTTTATGTTATTGTTTCCGACAATTGTTACGTGGTTGTTAAATTTTTTTAAGTAATTTTAGCTTTTCCAAAAGTGACCATGATTTGTTACTTATACTGTAGCTTACAGAAGTGACACACTTAATATCGGGGGGTCCAAACCTGGATATCTACCAATGGAGATGGAGATCAGGTAAATGCACACCTGCTCTTCCAGAGAGGAAAAGCTGCCCTTTGGCACCTTTTGAGTTTGAGAGGGAGCCCAGGCTGTACYGTGAGCATTTTGGATGAGGTTAGAAGTGAGCGCTGCCATTAATCACCAACCTTCGTGTAGGCCCAGCATGGCTTTGTGTGACAATGTTCAGACAGCTCTCCATCCTGCAGGAGACTCGGTGTCCCTGGAGAAGGCTCTGTGTCCATCCCTAGCAGTAGCTGAGCTCAGGTCACTGAGGGACAGYGGGCAGGAGCTGTGGTCTCAGCCCAGCCCCATGGCGAGCACGAGGTGCTGCTTTGCTCTCCCAGCCGGAGGGAAGGTGGCGGCGGTCGCAGCAGAGTCSGTGCTGGAGGAGGCAGGTGAGAGGGAGGAGTGTGCAGGGAGCAGAGAGCGATTGTAAGGTGCTGTTGCCATGCCTGTCATGTCCTCTTCTCTTTTACAGACACTTAACAAGAACAACTTGATACCGGACGACAGGACCAACTTCTACCCACTGCAGCAAACCAATGTGTACACAACAACCTATTATCCCAGCACACTGAATAAATATGATTACAGGCCCGAGGCCTCCCCTGGAAGGACCTTTGCCAACAGCTGATGATGGACAGATCCTACAGGACTGGATAACTTCCTATATGATTTTTTTTTTTTTTAAATTGATTTTATGGACCAAATACCGGCCCAGCCTCTAGATGTAAATATTGTACAGTAGGGTCTTTTTTTTTCCTTTGGTTAATTGTGTTTCTTGTAAACAGCACATCTCCTTACAAGGACAAAAATGCATATGGACYGTTCTGCGGAGCTTTTGTGGATATTTGGCTGGAGATGGCTCTTCCACTGCAACTGTTTATGGCTGGAAGATCAGCATGCTGTCCGAGGCTGAGGTTGTTGAGAAGGGGGCTGTGTGCTGGGCTGAGTGSCCACTGAGCAGCCACACACAGCACATGGAGCACTCCAGACAAGGCAAGAGGTGGCCTCCTGGAGCAGGGCTGGATACATCCTTTGTGAGCCAGGACAGCAATGGTGCGGTGGATGACACACAGCTCATGGGACAGGCCAAACAGGACTCCATCATGACAACAACTTGAAGAACATTTTCTTTTTTCCTTTTTAATTTTATTTTTGATTTTTTTTATGTAAATATATAAAAAAAAAAAAAAAAAAAAGGTAGTAACTTTCTAGGGCAGTGTCCCTGTATCTTCACCAGAATCTTTTCATATTACAGGAAATACTCTCTGCAGCCTTCTTTGGTAATAYGCAGTTCAGCTGATGAGAAACAACACACAAACAAAGTGCATTATCCAAAGAAGCTTTCCAGAATGTTTCCAGTCTTAATTAAAAKAAAATTATACAGGCAGTGAGACACTGAGAAAAGTAAATGTTGGAATAACATTGGAGACATGAACTTGGAGTGCCTAACAAACAAAGATGTTTATATCACTGGAAAAGMGATGTGATGATTGCCGCACAAGAGCCATGGGCTTTTCTTCTTTCTTCCTTTTTCCTTTTTTCTGAGACAGTGTTAACTCTTTTTATTCTAGCTTTGATCCTGATTGCGTCTGCCACGAGAGGCAACTTCAGAGGCCATGATCTTCTTGTGGGAAATCACCGTGCTTTGGGCTAATATTTCCTCTTGTTTAATTATTGGGTTTTAGTTCATATACTTTCAAAAAWTGAATAATTCTGACTTTGCAGGGGGAAGGTATTTTTTTAAGGAATGTTTCCATAGTCTGACATGACCCAGAAAGTCTGCTGCACATTCTTACAGCGTCTTCCAGTCAGTACTCTAYGAAGTAGTAACACAACTGAGTAATGTGCATTGTTTGCCAGTATTTCTTTAATTTTTTTKGAGAAAAAAACAACCCAACAAACAAAAGCTGCCACAGCTATTGAAGTAAATTGGAGCRGTAGCATTATTAAAAAGTATATCCAGCCTTGAAATGTAATTTTGTGTATGTGTGTGACTGTGTCTATAAGAACTGTATTAGTCTGATGCAGAAGCCATGTTGTCTACAACCAGATGTTTGTCTGACATAATTGTTTGGCAAAAAGGAAACTTATTGCTSGTGCTTAATGTACAGCTACATCCAGTGTGTTAGCAACGTGAACAAGTTCACCGCTGTTATCATTCAGTGTTTCTAAATATTTATGATGAACTCCTGATGCTAAGTATTTTAGAATGTCGCAATACTGAGCATGAGATAAAAGTACACCCTGAAATACGCATGAGCTCCACGTGGTCCTGAGCTTGGCTTTGTGTCTGCATCTTCCCCGGGCAGTGCCGGGCTCGGCCCGTTCCCTGCAGTCCTGTCTGTCCGCGCTTGGTTTCGGGTTTGCTGTGAGCCGCCATCGGTTGTTTCTCAGTGCTGTTCCTTTGCAGTTGCTTGTTTGGAAGCCCAGCTCGGGCCGTGTACTCAGCTCTTTCACGTAGGCAGCTGGTAGGAAATGAAGAAAGACTGTGTTGCCTGTGACAAGTATATTGCTTTTCCTGCGAGGAAGAGCCAGCGTGGCTCTGCAAGCCTGTGTGTTACGGCCGTTTGACCAGAGGGCAAGTATAAAATGGCCTCCCATTTTTAAATTACTTTGTTTGACTTCAGTTTGCAGTGATTGAAGGCTGTAGGGATATTTTTAATAAAGTGGGGTTATTAGCACTGCCATGAGGACACCTTAGGCTCAGCGGTGCCCATCATTTTCAGCAGCTCCTTTTCTAATTTAACAGCTCGTCCTGTTTCTGCTCTGGTGTCACCAGGTGAAATGGAGGGGGCAGAGGGACAGAGAGAGATGCCCTTAAATGGATTTCAAGCAGCGGAGTCAGGAGCTGATGCAGACCTAGAAGAGCCTGTCTGAAGCAACTGCTGCGACTCTCCAAGTTCAGCAGCCCTGAGCTCCTGGCAGCACAGCCAAGAGCAGCAGGAGCAGAGTGGGATCACCAGGGAAGCAGGATAGCTCTGGTAGCAGGTAGCCTGCAGGGAGGAGGCTCTTCCCAGGCCCCTAGATCCCATTTGAGCCGTGATGACTTTGTGCCTCGTGCCATAACAAGTTCACCCTGTCTCACTGAATTTTCGCAACGCCTGCAGCAGCACTTGAAATCCTGACTTTTAAAGTCGTTCTAACGATATGTAGCCCAGGGGTTGGAAATGATTACATTAGATGATCAGGATGGGATTTCCCAGCTTTAATTTATGTGATTCAGGAGAAAACACTGGCTCCCAAGATCATTCCAGCCATTATAACATCAAAGCCATCTCTGAGCTTCCCCATCAGCAGATCCCCTGTATTAACACACTCTGCAATTACCATGCACGTGGCCAGATTGCAGCTGGAGTTTGAGGGGATGCAAGTAAGTCAAACCTTGCAATTATCTCAATTTTCTATTTTTCCTTCCTCTTTCCCCCTTTCCCCCTTCAATTTTTTTTTTCCATTTTTGGCTTCACAGAATAACATGATGTAATCTGATTTCTTTTTCCCTGAGTACCATATAGTAGATGAAATTATTTAAATGTTCAACTCACCAAAATGGGTGATTACTGCCATTGTGTTCAGGACGTGGATATTTTGCAGGCTATTGGAGGCCAGACGCTTTGAGGGTGGTGCATGTGGTTATAGTTCCATCAAGACATTCCTTCCTATCAGCCATCCAAATGGATTCAGCCCTTTTTCATATAATTGGCAATCACAGCAAGGGGCTGTAGTCTCCATTCGAGCAGAAAGCAGAATCCAGGAGAGAGTGAAAAAAAGAAATCAGAACACTGAATTACTCAATTAATGTTTGCAGGAGAGTGCAGTTCTTTAAGGACGATGTTAATGCGGTGTGAGAGTCGCATTTTTTATGAGCTCTCTAATGCGTGGCAGGTTAATGACACCATGTACAGGGATATTCTTGCAATCCAGGTAATTTGGCACTTTRAACATCAGGTCTGTAATATCTGTAGGAGTTTGAGTTGCTCCTGCAGCTGGATGTTAAACTTGCTTACATTTCCTATTCCTAACACCATCTTAAACTAGAGTGAAAATGCATTTCCTTTGGGAGCATTGCTTTCCGGAAGGTTCATTATGCTACATATATATATATATATATGTTTGGTTTTTGTTTTTTTTTTCTTTCCCTTCTGAGACAGAGAAGGGGAAGCCTGGGTGGTTCCTCTGTAGGTCTGGAGACACTGTGTCTCTGCAAACCCTTTGGATAGGATTCAGGTGAACAGTACATGAAATATGATGGAAATCTTACAGCCAAGTGTGTAGTGGAAACATCTTTAATTAGGCCATTCTCTGTTTTTCCATGGAAGTGGCTGCCTTTCTCCCAGCCCAGGGGGTGTGCATGGTGCTGTTATCCAGGRATGTTGTGCCGTTGCTGTCGAGATTTCCTGGAGCAGCTGTCAGGATCARACCATCACATAAGAGGTGCTGTTACTTTAAAGGTGCACTTGAATGTTCAGTGTATGAGCCAGGGCTGCTCTTAAATGCATGACCTGTACAGACACTACAGCAGAATAACATATATTGTCTAACCACCACTGTTCCTAATGCCTTATGTTCACAAAATGAAGTGTTTGGTTTGAAATCAACAGAGAGCAGGAATAGAGCCCATGTCTGACGCAGACGATTTGATGCCTCCAGTGATAATCTGCTGTTCAGCCCACCTGGAGAGAAAACTGCTGTCCATTGAGATTGATTTATTCTTTGTACCAAATATAGTGGGGGAGAGTTATATATATATATATATAAAATATATATATAAAAATGTAAATGTAAAGTTTCTGTAACAACTTACTCTTCTTTTTGTAACAGTGTATACATCTATCAGTGGATAGATACAGTATATATTTATAATATATACACACTATATATATATTTAGCAAAATGCCTGCAGAGGAAATTTAGAATAAGAAAGGCAGTGCTGATATTCAGATTCCACAGGGACAAACAGAAGAAAAAAACTCTATAAAAATGTAGTACCTTTTCCATTAGGTTTAAAAACCCACTTTGAGGTAAATGAAATATAATTTTTTAATTGAAAAGTAAATTGATTTTTCTAGTTAGAAATGCTGATTCTCCCCTAAATCATTCTGGTTAAGAGCTATTAAGAAAAAGATACTTGATACTGTTTATATTTTCATAATAAGCCTCCTAAATTTCTCATGTGTATCACTCTATTGTTTTTGTAATTATAAGTAGGGAGTAATTGTGCAAAGAAAATTAAAATAGCAAGTAGGAGTAACAAGTCTTGTACCATTAGAGCAGAAGACATCATCTGTTAGAACGGGGAGAATGTCATCTTCCGTGTGAAAGAAGTCAGTAACTGCCTTCTGAGTTATTGATCAGCATTACAAGCCTGCCTTACGCTCACACCAGGAGGCTTTATCTGGAATTTAGGAACAGGAGCCCTGCAAACCCATGGCTTTTGGTTTTCAGAAGGGTCAAAAAAAACCCCAGCAAGCCGTGGAGGCACCTGGTGCCGTGGGTGTCTGTGGAGCTTTCTGTGTCGGGGCCAAGGCTCTGCCCCCATTTCTCACCCCACTGGCCCCAGCCCTTACACACAGGCACAGCACCCTCCAGAGCTGTCTGGCACGGCACAGAAATACCCACTCAGCTGAAGARTCCATTCTTTTCCAACAATTCACTTAAATGCCCTCAGAACAAGGCCTAAACTCCCAAAAGATGAAGCTTTTTCCCTTAAGCTTTTTAGAAGGAAACTTCAGGTGGCTTCAAGAGCAGTTTGGGGGTGAGAGAGCTTTCTGTCCAATTTTGTTTTGTTTTTTGCCTGATTGCCAGAGCCTTCAAAACTGGGCAGAAACCCCTCTGGAGCTGGGTCCTCATGGGACTTAGCCAGTCTCAGCTGTTCTGCCTGGAAATTCCTCCTTCAGAGCCTTTGGGAAAAATTAATGTCTGCATTAATCCTGGCTGGAGGAACAAAACCAGCGACCCACTATTTACATAGCCACAAACGAAAGTGCTCAACAGCATTCGGTGCAAGTTTGGGTCTTGAACCTGTTACTTTTTCCATTCTGCCTCCAGCCTCAGCTGCAAACTCACCCCTGCTGTTCAAGAGGGTTCAGTGCTTTAAGAGCAGCATTTGGCTTTCTGCAGGCCCCAGCCACAATTTGGTTTTAAACAAATCTGGTCATGAGAA